CAAGACAGTATTTCCATCTTGGGAAAGCGCAGGGACAAGACAATGCCCTTTGCACTCTGCTCTCTGCTGCTGGCCCGAGAGCCCATCCTCTTGGAGCACATCTCATTTACTGCACAGAGCTCAGTGCCTGGCCTGTTGTGGGTGATCAAACGGAGAAGCGAAGCCCTCGTGCAGCTTGTATTCTAGTGAGAAGACTGATTAAAACAGCCAGGTGATAAGTGATGTGCGGAAAACGAAACCGGGTAACAGGAAGGGGCAGCTGGGGGAGTGCCCACAAGGCCAGTGTGGCCTCGCTGACGCAGAGCCTGTAACTGTGCTGTCCAACACTAGCCACTGGCCATGTGGCTACTTAAACTCAAAATAATGAAAATTAAACAAAATATTACTCCATTTCCCCGGTCACACTAAGCACATTTGAAATGTCTATTGGATGGCACTACTGGAAGGTTGAGGAGGAGCTGAGGGAGCAGTGGGGGGTGAGGGCGGGGGCACCAACAGCCACATGCTGAGAAACGGCCAAATCTTATGAAGACAGGCATGTCTGGTGGCTCCCAGAACTGAAATTAATAAAAGCTAATGGTCTGTGGTATGGGCAGAGCTAGGAAAAGAGTGTGCTCAGCTGGGACAAAGTGGTGACAGGATAAGTTTTGAGGGGAGCAGTGGCAACTCAGGGGTCCTGCTGGGCGAACCTGGGGTGCCCTAATACAAACAGGCTGAGATGCCACACTGGAGCCCAGGGCTGGGCCAGAGAAGACATCTGGGCACTACAGACACAGATACTGAAAGCCCAGACTGGACAAGGTTCTCCAGGAAGAGGCTGGACATTTCACCAGATGAGGCTCTGGAACTTTCCAGCACAGACAGCCTCCCCCTTCATAAACCTAGACTTGGTGAGCAAATACAGCGTGTCAGCTTCAACCAATAAAGCTAGAGTCCAGTGCTGCTTCCAATAAGTCCTTTAATCTCACAGTGAATGTTTCCTTAAAAAAAACTGAGAAATTCAGAAGACTGTACTGACGTTTGAAAAAGAGAGTATGACCCTGGTCGAATCATGAGAAAAACAGACAAATCCCAATTGATGGGCATACTATAAAATTCCTGATTACCACTCCTCAAAACTGTCATCAGTTTTGATGTCAAGGTCATCAAAACAAGGAAGTCTGAGAAACTGTCACACCCAAGAGAAGCCTGAGGACACATGACTAATTGTCAGGTGGGATCCTGGAAGAGACAACAGACAATAGCTGAAAACTGAGGAAATCTCAAAAAAGCATGAATGTCAGTCAATAATAACATACAGATATTAGTCCACTGATTGTGACGAATACACCATACTAGCATTACAAGATGTTAGTAGAGTAAATCATAGGTAGAGTATATAAGAACTCTTATCTGTCCAATTTTTGTATAAATCTAAAACAGTTCTAAGATTTTTTTTTTTTTTAATTAAAGATTTAAAACAAAGAATACCAGGGGCGCCTGGGTGGCTCAGATGGTTAAGCGTCTGCCTTCGGCTCAGGTCATGATCCCGGTGTCCTGGGATTGAGCCCAGGGATCGGGGTCCCTGCTCAGCGGGAGCCTGCTTCTCCCTCTCTCTCTACTGTGCCCCCTGCTTGTGTTCTCTCTCTGTCAAATAAATAAATACATCTTAAAAACCAAAACCAAACCCAAAGAATACCTATGAAGTTCCTGATACAACTAGGCTGCCAGTAAATACTAGTTCTGTGCCCCTCATTCAGAGTAAAGTAGGAAGGACGAGCTGGGATCGGATAAACCACTCCACAGGGCCACTCCCAGACTCCAGAGCAGCGCCGTCCAACAGAAACACAACACCAGCAACATATGTACTTTAAAATTTCCAAGAAGCCACATTTAAAAACTAGAAAGGAACAGGTGAAATTTCAAAAGTTCACTTTATTTAATCCAACGTATCAACAATACTATCACTGCAACACATAAACAACATAAAAAATCTGCACTGCTTTGGTTTTTAGATTTAAATTCATTAACATCAAATAACACTAAAAATGTTTCCTGATCACAGGTGCCACTTTTCAAGTGCTCAGTAAGCACATGTGGCTTGTGGCCACGCACTGACCCAAGACCTGGAGCTTCCGTTCCTATTCAAGAGGTCTAGCCATGCCCTTGCCCATCTTCCCTGCGAAGAGGTCCCTTTCAAGACCAGGCCATCACCCTCGGGCCCCACATCCACCCTTCTTCTCTCAGCTGTTAGGCAAAGATGGGCTCAGCACGCCATCATCCAATCCGAGCGCTCCCAAGTTGAGCGAGGGAAACCAGGCTGACAGCCTACAGGCAGGTCCGACCCTCTACCCGGGCCTGAAAGCGACCACCTCGGACCGCCCCGCGTGGCAGGCACTGTCCCAGGCACCACTGTCCTCCTTCCTCCAAACGACCCTCTGGGACAGGCGAGGCGGCCGGGGCTCGGAAGAGGGGTCGAGGGCGCCCCCGATCACAGCCAGCCTCGCGGCCACATCCGGAAGAGAAATCCGCCCGCGAGCCTGCCCCTCCTGCCCCTCTGCGGAACCGACCACACCGGACCGAAAGGAACGCCAGGGGCCCGGGAGGGTCCCCACCGCCCGACAGTCGGCGCGCCCGACGCCACCCGCGGGCCCCGCACCTGTCCCAGTTGGGGTCCCAGACGCCCGGCCCGGGGCGAGCGGCCCCCGCCCACGCCGGCGCCTCGACCACACGCGGCTCAGCGTCCCCGCCCGCGCGGGGCTTCCCCACTGCCACGGCCGAGAAGAGCACGGCGGCCGAGCCTCCGGCCAGGCCGCAAGCCGCCAGCTGCAGCGCCTGTCGGAACGCCATGCCCGCCCGTCCCGCGCCAGCCCCGCGCAGGCGCTCAGGGGTGGACGGCGCGCCGCGAGGGACACGATTCCCCAGGTGTCCGCTTCCGGCCGGCGGGCAGCGCGGGGACGGAAGTCCCGCCCCCGGGGCCAGTGGGCCGCGGGGCGGGGAACGCCCCGGCCGGTCGCAGACAGTTTCCGGGAACGCAGTGGGAGAGGCGTGGTGGGCGACGGGTCTTGTGCTGAAGGCCCCGGTGCAAGTCAGTCCTGGTTTCCAGCGGCGAGCGTTGGCGCGGCGCCACCCGTTTGCTCCGCGCTGCCCGTGTGGAGCCGCCTTCCGGGGCACAACGGGAGCGTCTGAGCCAGCGGCGGGGCGTGTGTGAGAGAGAGAGAGAGAGACGCGCGGCGTGTGTGTGTGTGTGTGAGAGAGAGAGAGAGGCGGGCCAGCGGGGCTTGTGTGAGAGAGAGGGGCCGTGAGGTGTGTGTGTGTGAGAGAAGAGAGGCGGGGCGTGTGTGTGTGTGAGAGAGAGAGAGAGAGACGGGGCGGCGGGACGTGTGTGTGAGAGAGAGACGCGCGGCGGGGCGCGTGTGTGTGTGAGAGAGATGGGGCTGCAGGGCATGTGTGAGATGCGGGGCGTGTGGTGTGTGTGTGTAAGAGAAGGGCCGCAGGGTGTGTATATGTGTGTGTGAGACAGGGCTGTGGGACCTGTGTGTGTGAGAGAGACGGGGTCAGGGGGCTCTGTGTGTGTGACCACTTGTGTGTTTGTGGCCGTGCCACAGGGTGGAGGGGAGCGTGTGTGTGTGCTTGTGTGTGACCCTGTTGTGGGGTGTGTGTGCCTGTGCATGCGTGTAAGACTGTGGACGGGCAGGGCGGGGGTGGGACCACTCCTTGGGGGGCACTGGAAGGAGCCCCAGCCTTGAGGCTGAGAGCCCGACGCGGGGCTCGATCCCGGGACCCGGGGGTCATGACCTGAGCCGAAGGCAGACGCTTAACGACTGAGCCACCCAGGCGCCTCAATCTTAACCAGTTTTAAGCATATAGTTCTGTGGCATTAAGTACATTCACACTGTTGTGCAACCACCACCATCCATCTCCAGAACTTTCTCCTCTTCCCAAAGTGACACTCTGTCCCTATTAAACACTGATCCCCTATTTGCCTCCCCCAGCTTCTGGCACACACCATTCCCTTTGTCTGTATGAATTTGACAATTCTAGGGACCTCATGTAAGTAGAATCACATGGTATTTTTCCTTTCATTTAGCATAGTGTTCTCAAGGTTCATCCATGTTGTAGCATGTCACAGGTTCCTTTTTAAGGCTGAATAATATTCCACTTTACGGATATAATACATTTTGTTTATCCATCCGTCAACGGACACTTGGGTTGCTTCCACCTTTTGGCTGCCGTGAATAATGCTATGAACGTAGGAGTGCAAATATCTCTAAGTCCCTTTCAGTTTTGGGGGGTATGTACCCAGAAATGGAATTGCTGGGTCATCTTTGTAGGTTTTTAAGTTAGGAGTTGACATAATCTGACTTACATTTTTTAAAATCTCACAACCCTTCCCCTGGGCAAGAAATTAAAGAATTCCTCTCTAGGGAAACTGGCCAGTCTAAGAGAAAAGGCCTCAGTTACTGAAAATGGGTGATCTCCAACAAAACTGGGTCCCTGCTTTGTCAGCCCACAGTGAGGGTACTGCCTGAGTGGCTCCAACTCTTAAAGACTGATGCACAATCAGCAGACTTTTGGGGAAATCCTGATTGAGAAAAACAAAGAGCAAAACAAATGGAAAAAAAAATCTCCATGAACCCTGAGAAAATAGAAACAGCATATAAATATAAAAAAAATTTAAAAATATAAAATTAAGATCCAAAGGTATTGTATCCATGAAACAAGAATGGGATACTGAGAGTGAGAAAAGGCGAGGAGGAGGGTTAACAAAAGAACAGTAAGAGAGCAGAAAAAAGTCAGCTGAAAGGGTGGCATGCACTTCTCACAGGGCCTCCAAATGTCAGGGTAAAGTCCTGCTCTAGAAGGGCCCCTTTCCAGTGGCTCCATGTAGGCAGGCAATAGTATTACAGATTTTACCACAATTTTTTTTTTAGTTAAAAAAAAATCTGAGGGCAGCCCTCTGGCCACCCATTTCTACCAAAGTGACACAACTGTTCTGAAAAATTAAAATCACCACAGAAAAAACTGCATTATAGTTTATTGTCGTCCTAATTCAATTCAAGGTGACAAGTGAAGTCAACACTACTGTATTTTCTGACTCTAAGGCCGCATCACCTGAAGATAGTTACTGCCTTTTTAAAACACAAGTTCTTACGTTAAAAGATTTGTTTCTCCATCTTCAGTCACATGATGTGGAGTCAGATAAAGTCCTGACTAGGTTGTTTCTGCTCCCTCACCCTACGCAGGTGGGTCCCTAGACCCACATGGGCAGTGTGTCTGCATTCACTCCAGGTCCTCTTCACTTCCCCAGAGAGGCCAGGTAGATGTACCAGAACAGAGACACCAGGTTGGCAAAAAGCACTCGGAACTGCCAAGAGAACACAGGCCACAGTGAGGTCCTGACTGTATCTACCAGTCACCGGTCCCCCAGGACAGAGCTCATTCGTTGGTCAGTCCATCCACCCACTACTGTACTCACTGAGCCTTTCCTTCGTACAAAGCACTGTGCTAGAGGGGTGAGCAGGACAGTCTGTGCCTAGTGATGTTACAGGCCAGTAGGGAAAACAGACAGTAACTGTCCTATGTCCTCCTTCACTGAGCACTCGCTCCTGGCTCAGCTTCTCACCCCAGGACTGGACATCATGTGGTGGCTTCACCAAGCCCGCCGGTGATACCCCGCCAGCCCAGGCCATGACCCTGCTTTGATGATCTGATGGAGGTACTCCCACCTGAAATTACCTCTAGTCAGTGAGTCTCCCTGACATATAAGCTCCATGAAAGCAGCAGTCTGTTCTATCTTGTTAGTCACTGTATCCCTAGAGTTTAGAGCAGTGGGGCATACAGTAGGTGCTCAGTAAATATTTGTTTAATAAACTCCACTGCCCCTTAAGCACTCACCTGCAACCACCTAAAATGGAAACTAATCACAGCCTCCCAGCTTTCTGTCCCTAGGCCGTCCAGGAGGGTCCCATTTTCCAGGCTCTCCCACTCTCCCATCCATAGATCCCTTCACATCCTCAGCCATTCTGCCTTTCCATATCTTTATTGCCTTTTCTATGTACTTTAGGATCCATGGCTCAGAGCCTTCATTGCCTTCCCCTCTTGTTCCTTAGTTGTACTCCCTGGAAAACCTCCATCCTCCCTGCTGCCCTGGGGCCCTGTGCCCATGCACAGGAGGGTCTCCAGTCAGCTCCCTCTGTCATTCTCTACAAGTTTTCCGTGTCTTTACTCCCCTCAAGAAACCCATCTTACCTCCTCTCCCCTCAGTCTGGCCCTGCCCTGCCCTCTGCCCTCCCAGAGGAAAGAGAAGGTATACACGGGCGTCCCCAGTGAACAGGCACCTCTTTCCTGTCTTAGTAAAGAAGGGCCTCTGTCTAAAGCACCTCTCTGCTTCTGCCCAAATCCCATGCCCCCCTCTTTAGGGTAGCATATGGCCTCTCTTCGCTTCAAAGCCCATTCCCATCATTTCTCCCCACTTCTTCACAAACTTCTTGAGAGAATTTTGCAGACTTATGATTTCTACTTCATCCACCACTCAATTCACAGCAGTTTGGCTTTAGCCCTCATGGAGCTGAAATTGCTCTTGGGAACATCACTGATAAGATCACTGTTAAAACCAGTGAAACTGATTCTCATTTTGCTTTAACCCTGCAATATCTGTGGTTGTGTGTCACTGCCTTCTCCTGGTTTTCTGCTACTCCTTGGGGTGTGTGTGTGTGTGTGTGTGTGTGTGTGTGTGTGTGTGTGTAACCACCCAGCCTGCACCTCCCTCCCCTCTTCCCAGCCTTCCAATGGAGCTGCAACTCAAGGGAATTCTGCCCAGGTCTCTCCCCTCTAGAGCAGGGGTGAAAACAAGTAGGTTACTTAAATGGTGTGCAAAAAAAGCTTAAGGTTGCAGTCCTTGGAAAGGCCTGTTTGAGAGGCTAGCCCTTCCTTGGGGCCTGGGTAGTTAGAGTTCCTGAGAGTTCCCACCTTTCCCCAACTGATAAGAATGGCTCCCTAGGCCTGGACTACTTGCTAAAATAACACAGTTCACGCTGAGCACTTGCTCTCCTGGGAGTCTGGTGTGTGCCAGGCAGAGGATGCCTACGTGACCAGCCCTCCCAAAAAACCCTAGGTGCTGCGTCTTTACAGGGCTTCCCTGGGCAGAAACATGGCCTACACGTTGTTGCGTTTGGTGGTACCAAAGCTCTTTTGGTGAGCGCTTGCTCTGTGTGACCCTCATGGGAGGGAGGGAGCACGGGAAGCCTGCATGGATTCCTAGGATCCAGTGGTGTATCTTTCCTTTGGGGCTGTGATAAACCCAGGCCATGAGCACACAGATGTGCCGAGCCCCTCTAGCGTATCTCCAACCTTGCGTATGGTCTTGGGGCTGGACACACATGAGCTGTCCTTGGTGTGTAAAAGCAGTGCACAATGGCGAGGCCCCTCAGCCCTGCCCCAGTGAGCTGTTCCTGCAGCTTAGAGCCCCTCCAGGCTCCCACCTTGCTCAGAGCAGGAGGTGGGGCTGCGTGGGGCAGTTTCAGCAGCCCACCTCAGGCTGCTGGACCCCATGTGTGTGGCACCCCAAGGGCTGCCCCCCCAGGTCCCACCGTCTGCCTGCTCCTCGGGTGTGCGCTGACCTCACTGCAGCTTAGGCTGCCGTGCCTCCCCTGCACATCCTGCTGGGCACTGGCACTGCTTGGCACCTGCATGCACTTTCGACCGTGACCCGCGAGGCCAGGCAATACCGCACCCCTGGAAAACCCAAGCTGCCCCTGGACTGGGGGCTTTTCAGAAACGTTTCTGGGACCCGTGGATGAGGTGTGGACGCCTGTTTTACCTGTCCAAATCCGGACCTGCTACTGATTCTGGGCAGAGAGAAAACCGCCGATCAGCCCAAGCTGAAACAAGGCTGCTGGAAGATGAGGCCCCCTCTGGTTCTGCATGGTGCCGGCTGGCCCTCACCTGCAAAGGGATGTAGTTGATGTTGACAAACTGCGCCGGGGTCCAGACTTGCCAGTTCATGCACAGCGCCGGCCAGAAGCTTCTCCTTATCTGGACAGCGACCGCAGCTGCGTCTCTCCCCTGGAAAGGAAGGGTGTGGATGGTGAGCAGTGGCCACTGTCCTCAGAGCCAAAGCTGGGGTGCCAAGGTCTGCAAGTCTCCAAACCCTAACATGATGGTTTTTAAAACTGTGGATTTTGGGGGCGCCTGGGTGGCTCAGTGGGTTAAGCGTCTGCCTTCGGCTCAGGTCATGGTCTCAGGGTCCTGGGATCGAGCCCCGCATCCGGCTCCCTGCTCCACGGGAAGCCTTCTTCTCCCTCTCCCGCTCCCCCTGCTTGTGTTCCCTCTCTCGCTGTGTCTCTCTCTGTCAAATGAATAAAATCCCTTTAAAATAAAATAAAATAGGGCGGGGGGATTGGTTAGCCCGGTGATGGGTATTAAGAAGGGCACGTACTGCACGGAGCACTGGGTGTTATACGAAAACAATGGATCGTGGATCACCACATCAAAAACCAATGATGTATTGTATGGTGACTAACATAACATAATAAAATTT